TGTGATTTTCCTTATTGAAGAAAATAAGCTAAATGACTGTTCTGTGTTATTTGCCTTCAGGAGCCACCCTGTAGAATTACCTGCAGCTTCAAGGATTTGACCTCTTTCTATTCTTCCACTCCTACAGTTTATCCCATTCTTGTATTTTCCCCTCGTGCTACGTATTTTCTGGTACTGACACATGTGACCCCTACATAGATGGTCATTCATTAGACTAAACTCACTTCCATCCAGATCTGTGCAAGGAGACACCATTGCACACACTGCTGTACAACACCATGAAATAATTGTGTCTTCTGACAAACTATAAGCAGCACCACAGAAGGTGATCTTTTGAATACGTTATCTCCTTTTTCTTTGAAATATAGAAACCTGGAAGTAGTTGAGCTGGATGTATTGACTCTCTGAGTGTAGCAGAGCATCCTTTTTTTCCTGTTAGGATTATATAAGAGTGGGGAAAGGATTGCAGAGTGGGCTAACATTGTTTGAATTATGCTTCTACTTTTACACTTTGGATATAACTTACTGTAAAGGGGATCAGAAAAGCAGCATCTGGTTTTAACAGCAATTGGAAATTAAAAAAAAAATGAATGTGAATGTCGATAGCAAGGTTACCAATTCTTGCAGTTCCCAGTTGCCCTTGAGTGGGGATTGGAACATGTTGCTCCAGTGATAATGGAATGGCAATCCAGTTTCAAGCCAGGACAGTAGGTGGATTAGAGGGAAATTTGCAGTTGGTGGTAGTCGCATTCGTCCTTTTATACATGGTAGAGGTCACAACTTGGAAGATGCTTGTAGAAGATGCTTAATTGCCTGAGACATTTCTCGTTGCTTTGGCTTGTCTCTCCATTTGTTCACAATCATCATGGAATCAGACATGAAAGTTATTCAGATCTTAAATGTTTTAATCAGGGTTCTTTTGAACAGAGGGAAGAGCCATGTTAACTAGAAGCATGTTAATTATTCCACTATGGTTCAGCTTTGTATTGTCCAAGTTTAATTTTAAACTTGGCATCACTTGTTTTTCAAAAAAAAACTGCATGAAGGCAGAATTATCAGCACAAGCTTTATTATAGTTGTCTTCAATGAAGTCTGTTTTGTTTTTTTTCTCTTCCATTAAATATCTTCTTTACTGAATCTTCGTCATTGCATGTGAGATTCTCAGTGTGCGAATGTGTTGGTATGCAAGCATTTCACAACTTCCTCAGAGATCTTCTCACACTTGCAATTTGCACAGATGATGATCCCTAAACCCCTGTCTGTATTTTCATTCTGGGTCTTGACATGCCTTCTACAAGAATAGTCTAATTTGACAGCGGTTCTAACTAGAGGTTTTTGCCAGAAGCATATATCTAACTATAAATTTATTGATCATCTTCAGGAAGGATACATCTCTTAAAGTGTACTTTAAAACATGAATCAAGTTGGGGAAAATGCAATAAATTTTGCAAAGCTATCAGTTTTCAAATAACCCATTGAGCAAGAAGTTAATCTTTGCACGTGCTGGGTGAATTATTTTCACCAAAAGGCCTTGTGCTTTTGTGAAATCCTTGTATCAAATGAAAGAATTGTTAGACAAATAGTTGTGAAGTGCACATTCCCTGTGAATTATAAAAGGATATGGCAGGTGTGTGTTACCTCAACACTTGTAAATTTATTTTATTAATTGAGAAACCTTGCTGATGGGCCAAGGCCTGTAATGCAGAGAGGTTAAAGGTGAACTCTAGTGACTAGGTGGTAACATAATCACAGCTGCAGGAAAAGGGGAGATTAGAAAGAATTGAAGTGAGTGCAGCAGTTTAGTTACAATTGTAGTGGAAATCCAGTATTCTTGTCTAAAAAAATTCGATGCTGCCTGAGAAAAATTCCTAGAGATATTTGAGAAATGTTAGCTGTTGTCCAGTGTTGCTTTTAATTAATGTTTCTAACTGTGCTGCATCCAAAAAACTAAAACAATTAATTAAAACAAAAAGAACACATTTTTATCTTGCTGCAATAACGTCATCCGTGATGACTGATCTGGAGGTTTACTGGCTGTTACGGAGATAAATGTAGCCACTCTTGCATGCACGGCAAGATTTCATAAACAACTAGACAGTTCTAAAATCAAATCTTTCGCAAGGAAATGTTTGGAAGAGCAAAAGACTGCATAATTGTGAAATATTAAAATCCTTCTCAAGTGCTCAGTTTTTGCATTGTACGATCAGAGTATTTCTGTGGTTTGTGCTGTCCTTGAGAAGTTTGAAAATTTTTATTGTTATTGGTTTATTCTACATTAGTTCAATAAATGTATTTTGGATATTTGTCTTTTGATCTGTTTATATGACAAGATTTGGCAGGTAATAATTATGCTGTCTGCTGCACACCCCTCCTAACCAGTAAAGTTAAATTTGTGTACAAGTGCTGTTCCCAGCATCAGAAAGTTAGATTCAGTGGAGCATCACACTGTTATCTTTGCTAACAAATGACTGTCCATAGATAATTCAGTAGCTTTGTTTGGAGATGCTTGCATAAGATACTATATTTTCATGTTGCAAACATCCAACTGAGTGTTTATCACCCAACCCAAGAAAAATTACAAGTTTAAAGTTATGACTTAAATATTTGAAAGCATTCAAAACTCTTACCCTTTCTAAGACGTATGCTGTTTATGTTGATTCAAGCATAATCCTAATCTCTGAAATTAGCTGTGCTTAATCCTGTAGTTAAGTTATTTTTAAAGACAGCACTGCCTGATAAATTGGTGTTATTTTAAAGGCTGGATATTTCAGGAGTCTGCAGCACGTTTGGCTTGTTTCTTTCTCTCTGCTTTTGCTATTCAGCTACCTAAAGGAGTTCTTTTTCGAGCATCAAAACTCCTTTTATAAAAGGCTAATTTTCTGCTAGTTAGGCCTCCCCACTGCCAAAGTTTCACTAACAAAGATATTGTACATTAATTAGCATACCTTCTTTTCCTGTAACCTATCTGAATTTTCAGCTTTTCCAAACAATGACAGTCTTTTTCTGTTGGATTATGTTTGTTCAACCGTGAACAATTTATGGATTGTTTGAGGTATTTTGAGTTGTAAACCAAATGAACGCTGCCATACTTGATTAAATCTGAACTGTGACAATTGTGGTTATAATAGTCAAAGTTATGAGGTAAAGTGTTTAAATTCTTGGCTTGGAATTTAGTTTTTTTTTTAAAACAGTTCTGAAAATTCTTTTTTCTAAAACAACATAATTTAAAACTGGCAAGTACGCAAAATGCATTCCAAGAGGTTATACTTGTGTAGAGCTTCTGTATTCTAAAAATGTATACCCTGAATTTAGGACTGAAATAGGAGCTCAAGTTTGTGGCTAGAGGAGATGAGTGATCAAATAGACCCCTGGTCACATGTTGAACATGTGAAAGCTCAGTTAATATCTTCAGAGACTTCATTTCATAATTCTAAATTTTCTGATTCCCTAAACGCTTAAATACTAAATGTTAAAAAAGTTGGCTTTTTTCTAGTTTAATTTTTTTCCACTTATCACTGAAGGATTGGCTGCAACTAGTAAGTATTAGTGATCCATCTTCCCCTACAAAAAGACTATTCCATTCATCTCAAATTTTCTGGACTTTGTCTTTTATATAGATGTTCTTTCAAAATTTAATTTTTGAGCGTACATTATGATGCCTATTTAAGTCTATTTCACATTTTACCAAAAGGGGCAAAAAAATAAATTTGAGGCTGTGCAGTACTATAGGTATTTATTTAAGGAGGGAAGCTGTTTGTTTAGTTGAAGGTCTGGAGTTTATTCGAGTCAAGAGAGTAAAGAGGTAATGTTTAACTAAAGTGACTGAGTATTTGTTAAGCTATATTGTATGTCATTTTTTTCATGGTTGGTGGGGGGTGCGAAATCCTTGCTATCAGTTGAAATGTTTATGTGGTCTTTGAGTCCTGGGTGTGAAAACAGATGTTCTGTTGTCAGTGTTGGCTTCTGCTTGTAATACTTCCTCAAGCGTTTGGTGAGCGGAAAGGTGCTTTAAAACTTGCCGAACCTGATCCACTTCAGTTGAAGAGTCATCCACATCAGAAAGAAGAAATATTTACCTGTAGGAGTGATCCTTTCCCCCAAAAATAAACTTCATGTTCATATTTACAAAGATTAACCACTGGGGAATATTAAAGAAATAACTTCCTTGAGCTGCACGTTTTTCAGACACTGTTTCTCGCTCGCGCCTTCACGATCTCTCTCCGTGTCTCTCTCTCTGTCGGTCTGTCCATCTGTGTCTGCGTCTCTCTCTGTGTCGGTCTGTCCGTCTGTGTCTGCGTCTGTGTCTCTCTCTGTGTCGCTCTCTGTGTCGGTCTGCCCGTCTGTGTCTGCGACTGTGTCCTGTCTTTCTCATCCCCCCCACCCTCAAAATTTTATCTTCTGGTTATTTCTGATGTTGTGATCTTTTTCTTAAGTGTCGCTTCATATAGTTAAGTCATCCAAGAACTAAAAGCAAAGAGAGCTTCCCGGTTTAGAAAATACAATATCCAAAGTTTAACTTACTTTGATCAAATCATTCCATATTGTTTATTCTCAAATATTTAGATCAGGTTATTTAATTGAATGTGACATGACCTAATTTGACACAACTAGCTCAGGATATAGGATTAATTGCATCTCTACCAAACTCAGTCTGTACCAGTTCCCCTCTGCCTATTTTTCTTCCCTTGCTTTATTTCTCCTGTAGGCTGTAATTCTGATCAGTTCAAGGGCTGCCCAGTGTGTCTGATGCTTTGCTGGAATTCACAGTCTGAATGTCTATGGTTTGAGCCTTGCTTTTTACCTGGATGTTCAGATGATGCATTGATGTCCAAATCCCTCTGGCTGTATATTTTGTTTTGCTATTCTGCATAGATTTGCATCAGAAATTGGATTCAACAAAAGAGGAGGAAGTCCATAATAGAATAACTATACAGGGACACTCTCCAACCTCTCTACATTAAATAGTACTTGCAAAAATGATAAGATGTACACTTCATGTATCATAAACAATTGCTTAGTTTTGCAGGCAAGTCTGTTATTTGGAAGCCAAGGACTGCCATTTTCTGGTTACCAGTTTTTGGATTTGGGTTTTTCTTGAAGGAGTTAGTTGAGATGTTGTAAGTGGAAATGCCGTAGATGGGAAAATGCTGAGGGGCATGTAAAACAAAAATGAAATGATCAACTTTTAGATGAATCAAAACTGGTATACGAATTAACTGGAAAAAATAAAAACAGCATTTTGTGTGTTTACCATTAGATGCTTTCAACTCTTACAGGAACGTTCAGTTCCTAGAGTTCAGGGCTTGGAATGTTTATCCACAGTTTGTACAAAAAGAAATAACCCTGTGCGCACGAATGTTGGTTACCATGGCAATTGGAGTTCAAGGGACGCTGGAGGTCCTTGCACTGTGATTCAGGATTGAGGCCTGAAATTGTCCATGAAAATGTCAGATTAACCATGCTACTGTTATGTAATAGAATGGCTGCTTGTGGCTTATATGTTGTTCATGTTATGGGGTGGTTAATGAAGAAATTATTTAGTAGCCATGGGTGTGATCATGGTTACACCATTTTAGCCATGCACGATAATTTGGTAGAAAGCTTGCAATGCGCAGTGGTAAATGCACTTTATTTGCTATTTTATTTATTCATGTAGTTAAGATGTACTGTCAAGTTTGCAGTGAAAAATCTGTCAGTCTTTCCAAGTTACTGAAACATGGAATTCTGGCATGAATTTCTGACACGGCACATCCTAGTCCAGTGCACAAAACTTTGTCCAGCAGCTTCATGCAGTACTTGACTCTCTAAGATTGTTGTGAATGTTGGTTTGCATGACAAGACTCCCTAGTTACATTCCTGTCCAGCCAGAATGGGATATTCAGCTTTGCCTTAGCTAGAGTTGTCTGATTGGAGCTGCTAGTTATTAATTCGATTTTGACTTCTGCTGGCCTGGACTTAGTTATTCCAAACTGACACAAAGTAACGCATTCTTGTCTCTGCACAATGTTGCTGTACTTCCGTGGTAATTTTGCATTCATATCTGCCACATAATCTTAGTGAGTACTAAGTATGCATGAACCAATGAAGAAATCATTTATTTTCAAAACTCACTCGCATTCTATGCTTTCCATGTTAGCCATTTACCCAAATACAAGTTACAACCATTTTCTAATTATCAATCACAACTGCAATTAGCCATATTCCCAATCCTAATGAGACACGTGGATAACGTATTGGATAGTGCTTCTGCAGTCTTTTTTCTAACATAGAGTTTAATTGCCTGAAAATGTTCTCCGCTTTAGGAAAATATGATCTTTACTAATTTGAAAAAAAATGCCTTTCAGATATACCAATCTAACAATCTTTGCGTTAGCGTCTATTTGCGCATGTTGAAGATGTGCAGAAATTCTAAGTTCCGGGAATATTGGCTTGATGTTAGCATTTAGAAGGCAAAACAGTAATCTCATTGTTACTTACAGATGTTTGATTTCAATCTTTTTGATTATCATGCATCAGAAAAGCCTGCGCTTACCACAGTATCTCTTTTTTCCCCTCGTTCTTTGGTGATTAAAGCACCATCGGTAAATTAGTAGCAATTGAGGAAATTGTATCTGTAGCTGAATTTGAAGTTGGTCTTGAAACCTATCACAAATTACTTGAACATTCCAGTAATTGCAACTTTAGCATTAGCCAAATTTGGTGACAACATATATTAAACTTTCTTTCAGGAAAATAAAAATTGATGTGGAACAGATTAATTCTCAAACAGGATCATTTTAAAGGAGCAGAGAGGCTGACGTTTCGGGCCTAGACCCTTCTTCAGAAAAGGGGGAGGGGAAGGGGGTTTTGAAATAAACAGGGAGAGAGTGGGAGGCGGATAGAAGAGGGATAG